GAGAAGGATTAAAGGAGTCCTTTCTACTGGTTGAGTAGGGGGGGGGGGGGTTACCACATCATTACGTCTCAAAGCAATGTGGACTATTCATGAAATCCATTTCAGCCGGCTCATGTGACCGAAGTAGAACGTTATTCTGTCCGTGCTCAAACATGAACAAAGTCATATCAGCAGTGTTTCTGATCCATCCATCTCACTGTTGTTCCTTTTTTTTGCTCTTTTTCAGGACGTCAGTAAAGACTGCGAGGTCACCTGCATGCCCACTTTCCACTTTTACCAAAATGGAAAGAAGGTAAGCATGACAATAGACAGCAGAGCTGTAAACAGTTGCTCATCCACACGCTCCAGCAGACACGGAGCAACAACAAAGATGCTGGTCACTGTGCGGTGTCTTGGTGTCGACTCCTGAAGGGAACATCTGCTCCACGGCATCTTCATGCCGCCTTTAACCCTCCGGTCTGCGTTGTCTTTCAGGTGGACGAGTTCTCCGGCGCTAACATGGATACGCTGCTTGCAAAACTGGATGCTTTGAGAACATGAAATCCCGCCGACCAATCCGCTGTCCCTCATCGTATCAACACCACCGCCTCCCTCTGTACATGTATAAGAAACTCCAGTTACTAGTCATGTAACCATCACATCTCTCATTCCACACAGGCTGCGATCATTACTTCCACTCATCACGTGTTGGTGACGTACTCTTCGTCCTGTTCAGTGTGCGTCTTGACTGGCTGAAATTAGGATTAAAACCCGATGACAACTTTTAATTCTGTTTTTCTATGAGTGATTGGCTTTGCTCCCGACTCCCTCGTACGTTGTGTTCAAGGTGGATTTAATAAATGATGAGTTACTGGAACTGTGTTCTCTTCTTATTCACATTTTAAACACAACCTCTTACTGTAAGGGCAAAGAATCTGATATTTATCATCGTACAAGTATATAGCAGCATATGTTTAATATTGTCGAGTCTATATCAAAAAATACAGCTTTATTTTACAAAAATTCCTTTTCCTGCAGAGAGGAAGTACTAGTCAAACGGGTTACAGACTAACTGTAGCCCTTTTTACGAAACGGTTGACTAAATATGACAAAAGAAATAAAACTAATAGTGTAAGAACTCATGAAGTAAATTAAAGTTGAATTACTAAAGTCTTTGTGCTACAGATTCAACACTCGATACTGTCTACTTTCATTCTCAAATATGCTCGTTTTTCAAGTAAAGATGACTCATTACTGATTACCCAGAATGCTCTAACATGCACACTATCTATCCACGTTGTGAGTCCTATCTTGGGTTTGGTGACGGTCAAAGACAGGAAGTACACACGATAATGCTCCCTCTTAAGTTTTCTGTGTTTAACATACTTTTCTGGCCAGCACCTAGTACTTATCGCGTACTTCCGTGTATCCTTTCCTAAGCAGTTCAAAAGGAAACCTGTTTTTTAATTTGCATGTACACAGGAAAAAGGAGTGAATGCAACGTGTAGGTGTGTCTGACCACTCCTGCATTTATATGCTGCTGCCGTATAAAAGGCGGCGTCTCGTCCTCTTCAAGTCACAAACTTGGATACTTCTTGTTCACCTCGAGATAGGCTCACAGAATGGCCAACACTATTAAAGAACCGGGGAATTTGGTAAGTTGTATTTTGTTGGTTTTGCAGCGTTCATCGTTATTGTAGGAAGCCACTGTAAGACGTAGTGTTAAACAGAATCACCTTTATTGGCCAGGTATGTACGGATACAAGGAATTTGTTGCTCTTAACGTACATAATATAAAAACAAGGACATTAAAGACAAAGAACAGAAACTAAGCACAAACTTTGAGTTACTATATACAATATGAATATATATCGAAGTGTATATATGAACATAAAGAACAATGGATTTGTGATATTAGTGCAGAATGGTGGTAATAGTGCAAATGGAGGTGCAGTTTGTCGGATTAATTGTTCATGAGAGTGACGGTCCAGCGGAAAGAAGCGCTCCTGTGTCTGCTGGTTTTGGCGTACAGCGCCTACCGGAGGGGAGGAGTTAGAACAGGGTGTGAAGGGTCTGCAGAGATCTTTCCTGCCCGACTCTGACAGTCCGTTGTAGTCTGTTCCTGTCCTGTGTGGTGGGCCGATCCAAACCACACAGTGATGGAGGAACAGAGAACAGACCGGATGATGGGTGGAGTGAAATAGGGTCAGCAGCTTTTGAGGCAGGTTGCACTTCCTGAGCTGACGCCTTTGGACTTTTTTTCGTTATTACATCATCATCAGCCAAACCAGTTTCTCCCAAAACCCTGACATACTAAAAGTGAAAGCCTTCAGATTTAATGAATGAAATGTTGGTTTTGCAGTGACAGAAGCCATTGACCACTGACCAAATAAATAACTGCAGCAAGAAGATAAACAAATTGCATATCAACGATATATATATATATTTATATTTTACTTTCCAAATATCAGCTGCAATAACTGACTTTAGGTTAGTTAATACATCACAACTTGATCATCTTCTGTTTTTTGTGTTTCATTTTCTGTAGGCTGAGTTCAAGCAGATGCTGAAGGATGCTGGAGACAAGCTGGTTGTGGTGGACTTCACAGCCACCTGGTGTGGCCCCTGTAAAATGATCGGCCCTAAATTCCATGTAAGTGTACAATTTAGCCATTCGGGTGTCATTA